TAGTACATGTATTGTTTTTAACAAATACAACAATTGCAAATTTCCAGGCGAAAAAAAATCTATTTCCATACATTCTATTTTTTTAAATCATAAATGGTACACTCAAGCTGGATACTATTTACCTCTAATTTATCTTCAAATAAATCGTGATAAAACATTTTAAGATAAGTTACTCCTATGATTTTTCAACAATAGGCAAGTGGCTAAAGGTCAAGGTCTACATTTCTAGGAAAGTTATGAATGAACTCAACATAGACATAGGAAAACCTTACTGAATCACCAAGATAAACAAACCACTTGACAACGACAAGGACTGATGAGATGTTGTACGTGACTATGTTGTGGTGTGGTATTTAATTTTCACATCTCGTCAAATCTCGTACAATTTGTCTAGAGGCTTCTCGAAGCTACAATCTTTCATTTGGAAATTTACATCTCAACTGTATTAAGGGGAAGATTTATTCTGACAAAAAAAGCTACAAACTGTTTTGTTCTTATAATCTCCTAAAATTTAAAAAAAAAATATTTTGGCTGGTGGTTTCAATAATTGAACAACTAGAATTAATTTTAATGATTATTATTATCCTCTGATGGCCTCCATTTTTATCCGACGGTAACAAACTGAAGATTATTTGTAGAAGGTCGTCTATAAATGATTCTTGGAAATTTTGGTAAAATTGACAAAGAAATTTCAGAGAAAACCATGATAATTTTATTATCCTTAGGGTTTCTTGGATCATTCAAGTTTCCTCAAGTTTATAAACATTTGCAACGAAATTTCATAACAGTTCTTTTTTTCAAATTGGCTAACCAGAATCAAAGATTTCCTCTGTCGAACATTCTGTAACTTATTACTGCACACTTCGGATGAATTTGGCCTGGTTATGATTTAAATGTAAATTTTCTAACGATGGACGAACATATAGATACAAGATGATAATAATTTCTTCAAGTAAGCTAAAACAAAAAGGATAGTTCAAATCGCAAAACAAATATCGGTCAACAAAAAGCACTTAATTCAAAAATCATTTGTCATTTCCTATTCAGAATTCGGTTCATAGTTTCATTTATTGCATACATTTATTGTTTTCGGATCATTCTTTTCTTTCAGTAACCCCTTTCAAGCAAAGTTTTAAGCGTTTGCACTGTAAAATAGCTTTTTGAAGAAAATTAGATCAAAATAATTTCTGAAACCGAACCTTCACATTTCATTAACTATATGGTTTTAATGATTATTTCTTCCCGTCAATAAAATAACAACAAAGAACGTCATACAACAGCACAAATCAGATCAAACTTCTAGTTTGTGTATTTAGACTGTCTAGGTATCAGTTCATTCACTTAAACAAAGCCATTACTGAATAATAAATCGACATTATGTAAACAAGATTACAAGTAAATCGTTGTGCAAAAGTGCAACAATGCATAAATAACCTAAGTATTTATAGTAATTCTAGGCCATAAAATGTTTATTAAGTTTACAAAGAGTTTTAATCTATTAAGATATATATAAATGTGTTAAAAACTTTGCTAAGAAAGGTGCCAAAAATGACAAGTAAGACAGTAGGCATATATCACGTGTTTATGAATTTTTCACATTTAATGTAAATTCTGCATCCAGTTAGTTAAAAAATAAAACTTAAATGAGTATTTTAAACATGTTTTAATTATGTCTTTTTTAAACGATTTTTTTTTTAAAATTTCATGTGAATTATTTTCATAAGACAAGCCTAGTAATAATGATTGATGGAAATAAAAAAAAAAGAGTTTGGTTCAATTAGACGCTTTTCAGCTTTAAATAGTAGTTTTAAATACATAGCTTTTCATTACAGATCTTATTTGAATATCTAAGATTTACGCATTTTCAATCCCAAATGAGAATCTCCGATGGGCTTTCAAAAATATCTAGAATTTTGTTTTGAAACGCAGGAGATTTGTTAAAACTACACAAAAAATTGTACTTTTTTGTAGGAATCTTCGTGTAAAAGAGTAAAGATCATGCACTATATTTTTACCAAGTTATAACGTTGTCCATTATTATTTTGTAAGTTCAGGTAAGACGTAATTCTTAATTAAAGGGAGCTTAATTAAAATACGTCTAAATTCCTTTCTAAAATATGCACTGACAGAACATACTCTGTATGATTAATTTATCGAATAATTAATATTTACTTTGAGGAATTGATTGAAAGTCTTAATTTTCTGCGAACTGTTTTTCTAAATTGATATTGCAAGTCAAAATGCGTAGGAGAACGTGATAATTTAATCACAAACTAACATAAAAAATAATTCATTCACCTCAAAATGATTTCCTTACAAATTCCACAACTCATGGTTTTTTATGTTTTATTTAAAAAAAATAATGGATTGCAAAATTTAGTTATTCTGCAAGATCAGCTATAACTGACAAACAAATATCACACGTTTTGGATTTAATATATCAACGTACAGATAACAAATGGCATCTTGAAAATTGAGGAGGTCCTGTAACCAATACATCTACCTTTTTATAAGAAAGGCGGAAATGAACTTCCTTTGAATGAATTAGTGTATCTGTTAATCCTTAAGTGTTATACTTCCGGATGCCGCTGACATTGACACTGAGATGCTAGTTAGCGTACTTTTGAGATGCTAGTTAGCGTCCATTTGAGATGCTACTTAACGTACATTTGAGATGCTAGTTAGCGTACATTTGAGATGCTAGTTAGCGAACATCTGAGATGCTAGTTAGCGTACATTTGTGATGATAGTTAGCGTACATTTGAGATGCTAGTTAGCGTACATTTGTGATGCTAGTTAGCGTACATTTGAGATGCTAGTTAGCGTACATTTGAGATGCTAGTTAACGCCCATTTGAGATGCTAGTTATCGTACATCTGAGATGCTAGTAAGCGTACATCTGAGATGCTAGCTAGCGTACATTTGTGATGCTAGTTAGCGTACATTTTAGATGCTAGTTAGCGTACATTTGTGATGCTAGTTAGCGTACATTTGCGATGCTAGTTAGCGTACATTTGAGATGCTAGTAAGGGTACATTATAGATGCTAGTTAGCGTACATTTGAGATGGTAGTTAGCGTACATTTAACAACAGCAACTTATCTGAATATATGCAGAAATGACTACTCATGTTCGCATCTATTCGTTCCGCATTATAACCTAACATACCCCAAAACAAAAAGATAGCATCTCCTGTGTATCACCTGAAATGCACTGGATTTCTTAGAGCCCCGAGTTTCTGAAATTTGACAGCATTGCTATAGTTCGAAAGAGAAAGTCGTTTGTTCATCACTGTCATTCTTTACAGATGTTACCATATCCTTTTTTTAACCTGCATGAAGTGTTAATCGACAGTCAATAAGATTTCCTCTGCCCAGCAATACAACTAATGCTGAGGGGTCGTCATTTTGGCTGTTCTGGATTTGAAAATATTCTGAAACGTCTGGTCGGATTGGCGACGTCACATCCGATGCCTCGCGCAATGAGACTTTTAAGCTCCCTACAAAACAAAATAATAATAATTGACATTGGACCTTAAAAATTTGATAATTTAATCAAAGGCAAACAGAAAATGATCTAATATCTATTTTGGGATAATTTTTTTAATTTCAATCACAAAACGCCAAATAATAAAAGATGAATACACAACCAAACAGACGTATCTAAAATGGACAAAAATGTTTGCTGCGAAAGCTGTTTATTATTAATTAGTTGTATTTGATCAATATTTTCAATTTTCATTTAACTATCTTCTAGTCTATAGTGCATTATATATCCTAAAGGATAGAACACAACTGGGGGAAGGTAAGAATTTCAACAATTGCGTAAACTTTTTAAATGAATGGAAAACTAACATGTACAGAGATTCTATCTGTAGATTTTTGACAGTTCCACCGTAATTCATTTATCATAAGATCGTATCACTATATTTCAGATCTGTTTTAATATTTGAAAAAATAATTATTTCGAAAATCACTGATAAGTAAAGGTATTTGCTTATTTAACATATGTCAGTTTGCTAATAAGATATCAATAATTTTATCAAATTATAAAAAAGTGTTTTCATTATGGGATAAAACATCTGCAAAACGACAAATCTTGGCAGAAAGCTTATCTGAAGCTTAGTTTTTTTATGTATTGAACCTTAAATAATAAGTATCCAATAATACGCTCTCTCTAGCAAATCAAAGACGCATTCAGGTTTTCCGCTAATTTTCTCTCCAATAAAAGGTGGTTAGTCGGCATCACGGTGGTATAAACTATACGTGCATCCAGTTTAATAATCGGACATAACTTATACTCAATATTTGATGAAAAGTTGCATTTCATAGTTATATGAGTGATTTATTTTTGGATATACATTTTTTATTTTGAAGTAAGATTATTTATATAATTATGATGATGCATGCAACGTCTTACGTTCTGGTTATTCAACGTATCAAAAAATAGCTCAATCAGAATCAATTAACCGTTTTATGTTCTATATGTTGGATGTAATATATCTGTTGTGGCTTTGATATTTATTTATTGCCAAAGTGTCTTCAGCGAGTGTTCAAATGAATTGGAAAAAAAGTAATTATTCTTTGGTAACAATAGATTTTTGTTAAAGCAGTAGTTTGAGCCTCATGATATAATAATCAAAAACAAAACCTGCCTTTTCATAATCAATTTGCTTTCTTAATTGTGCATGTTAAAGGATTGCTTCAGCTGACACTGTAAGATGGTGAGAATTTTAATATATTATTTCATAGTTTGATTTATAATAACCGATTTTTCTTCTATTGTATGCAGTCTATTAATTAATCCTCTTGAAAGCAACAGTTTCTTTCAATCCGATAATTTATAAAAACTCGTGGCTATAAAGAGAGATTGAAAGCAATGACCATTTCGTAACGCTATATTATATATTGAGAAGTGATCATAAGGAGATTCAGCTATTACTGTTACGCTCGTTATGTTCAGGATATTTAATTAATGTCTCTATCGTTTCTTTCAGAACGAATTACCAGCCAAACTGACTACAGAAGGCTTTGATTGTGAATGAATAAAGGCATGTCTGCTTCGTATATTACAATATAGCTCGTGTTTTACTTGAAGAAATAACATTAATACTAGAGAATCGAATTGGAATGGCTGACGAGGAAACATGTATCAGCGAAAACGAAATTCGTTTCACTGTAGATTTAATTCCAACAACTCTGACATTGACTATCATCAACTTGGTCATTTTGGCGGGAAATAGTTTAGTCATTATTGCAGTAATTACAACAAGAAAATTACGAACTAACACGAACACATATATAGTGTCATTAGCGTGCTCAGATATTTTGTTAGGAATTTTTGTGATTCCTTTCTCAGCATCTTTAGAAATCTTGACATATTGGCCGTTTGGTGAAGTATGGTGTAGTATCTGGCTAGCTATTGACGTATTGCTTTGTACGGCTTCCATTTTGAATTTATTAGCTATAAGTTTTGACCGATACTTAGCTGTAACTAAGCCTATACAGTATGCTAGTGCTATGTCCAGACGTCGAAGTAAAGTACTTGTGACCTTTGTATGGCTGTTATCTTTTGTAATATGTATTCCTCCGTTATTAGGATGGAATGATAAAACTTCATATTCCAAAGAATCCCCAACGAGAAACGTAACCGCTTACGTTCATAACAATTTCTCGTCAATGGTAAATATTGAGCCCATCGTCTGCAATAATACAGCGCCACAGTGCGAACTAATTTCTACTCAAGGATACAGGATATATTCCGCTTTGGGTTCATTTTATATTCCAATGTTTTTAATGGTTTTCTTTTATTGTAAGATTTATAAAGCCGCAGTTCGAACAACATCGGCAATTCGAACAGGAGTTTTAACGGCAAGACAAAACGACGATGTTAAGAATGATGATCCGATAATCCTGCGTATTCATAGAGGAAATTCAGTTGTTTCAAGATCATCGGCTTCGTCTCGGTATTCTCAGAGAACTGGTTCTTTAAGAAGTGCTCTGCGTAATACAGGAGACAGGTGTGCCCGTAATAGACATTGTGTTTATTCCGAATGTAACCCGAACGGCGGAATTCCGAGTAGTAAAGAAATTGAAAGAATGCAATCGAAACGATTATATTTTGAAGAACCAGGACCGGAAGCTGGAAAAGAACCTTTGGAATATATAAAACTAAACAATAATACAAAAAGTCCGGAAGATAGTCCATTTATGAAAAGGAGGCGATCTACCCCATTTATATACGCTATGAATAAGAGAAACATTGAATCTAGATCATTGGCGGCAGTACCAGAAGGACGTCATAGCAATAGAATTCATATAAGAAAAATTTTGAAAGAAACAAAAGCTACCAAAACGGTTGCCATAATTGTAGGAGTGTTTACAATGTGCTGGTTTCCATTCTTTACAATGTATCTAATAGAGGCGTTTTGGGGCACGCGTGTTCCGTCATTGGCTTTTTCTGTGATGTTTTGGTTAGGTTATTGTAATTCTATGTTAAATCCATTTATATACGGGATGTTTTCTAGAGATTTTCGCTGTGCTTTCAGACGGATTCTTCGAAGGTCTTGTTATAAATGTTGTAAGTGCAAATGTTTTAAACGTCCAAAGAATGTGGTTGTTCACAAACATCATCTTGGATTTCCGGTCATTGACTTTGAAAGCACATCAGAATCGTAATAAGGGTCCAGATAGAGTACTGGTTTACACTGGATCTCTGAACATTTGTAAACATCAAAGAGCTCTAAGTGTACTTCTATTGTAAAACAATAAAATTAGAAGAAAATCACTACAAAATTATATGTTATTAAATGGCTTGTTCTGTGCTTCTGTAGTATAAAAAAGTGTGGAATACAAACCTGCTTAGTCTGCATAAAATATTACATGTGATAAGCAGTTATTATCAGTAAGTTCTAATACTTTGATTTCATTCACTCGACAATACAAAATCAATAAAAAAAATTCACAAGAGGAGTAAAAAATATTATCATATATATTAAAGTTTGAGTCATGCAGTTAAAAACGATTTTAAGAATCCCAATAGAAATTTCATTTTTGGCGGAATTAATAATGTATTAAATCTTAGAAATACAAAAGATTTCCACTAAAAATTGAAAAGTCCATCGAACTAAATTTAAAATTAAATTTTAGAATATAAAAAAGAAAAATATTAAAGTATTGTTATTTAAATGTACAATTTCTAAAATTACTTTTGTTTAATAAAATATTCTTTTTATTTGTACCCTTGGACAAAAATATACCAAAATGTATGTTTGACATAAACTTATAAATGTATTATACATCTGAAATTGACAAATTCAACAAGGTCTCGCTCATTAACATTATGGCAGTCTTAATGGGAGAGACTTAAAGTCTAATATTTTATGATTTGACGATTAATGTAAATCAAAATACCATAAAATTCATGTTTCTCATTTCAAATTTAATTACTCCTGTATGACACCCCCTCCCCAGAATCGGTTCATCATTTTGTTTTAGCAAACTCAAGTTTACAGATAAAAATCTATACTGCTGTGAAATTGTCAATTTCGAAAGATCACTACTTTACTCTCATCTGTTAAAAAAAATCACATAACTCACTCAACCCAACCAATTTAATTTAATCAGTTAATTACTATATTGTGTTTAAAATGTCTAACAATATAGTCAAATAAGATTGCATGTGATGTACTTCATCTGAATTCTTTAAATTCGAAAATTATATAGCGCAAGAAATCTATCAAATAGCATCCTTCTGATGTTTACAAAACATTACTTGTTAGAAATAAATATTTAACAATTTGAATTTTGTCTTCCATATTTGCTGTAGAGCTTCAAATTTGTCGCATTTAATGAAAAAAAAGACTGTACCAACATGGTCTCATTTTGAAATCTTATCATTTATTAGTTAAACAGCCAAAAGATGAAAAAAACGCCATTTAAGGTAATCTATGTCAATTTCGATATGGTTATGACATCATTGTGACATCACAGTCGATATTTCTGCTCTGAAGTATGAAAAAGAGGAGATGTGGGTATAAGTAAATGAGGCAGAAACAAGACGACATAAAACAAATCATCTATTTTATATCACCCTATAATGCTATATAAGCGTTATCACCCTATAATGCTATATAATCGTTTGTATTACTACCACTGGGTTATATACTTGGCGTTCCAAAGTTTCGAACCTTCTGTCCTGTTTAGGCTTATTTGGTTTTGATGCGCTTTGATGTTTTATGTACTTGGCGTTCAAAAGTTTTCGGTAGCGAATCGAGGATCACGTGACGTCGGCACTGCAAACTGTTCTCTATGTAAAGCTGACCTTGGTCTGAAACCAGTTCTTGTTGCCAATTTTAAAGTTATGAATGGGATAATTATAATATGTTACTTATCTTTTAAAGCAATCGTATACTGTGCAATTGTTTAGTGTAATGAATGACGTTTTGTGTTTAGAAAATCTTCAGAATAAAAACCCAGAAATAGTTGTTTTCATCACGATACAATCTAATTAAATAATACAAGCAAATATAGTTAAATGTAGCATACTTTATCGTGACGTCCAAAAGATAAATTAAGAAACAATCATATAGTGTTTTTTTTATTTATATCATTGACGAAAAGTAATCTAGCAAGTGAGTATAACAGACGAGAGAAAAATACAATTAGTCTACAACAAACAATTGTGTAGACCGTTGCAAATTCAATATAGTGGTCCAAGAATCAAAGCATCATTCAATTTGATAAGTCTACAGTTTTATATTAATTAAACAATATCTCGACATTTGATAGCATAAAATACAATAGTTTCATCCTTCAACAAACCAAATGTGTTCATCAGTACATATGAATGATTCTATATAATTACATAATTATGATAGTGTCTTTATCATTGTAGACATTAACCACTATCTATGAAAGATTCATTGACATACATCATTGACTTTGCACAATATCTACTGAAGCATTTTTAAAAAACATGGACGTTAAAAAAAAATTGGTATTTATATTGATGGCGAATATCTTATTGAACTCTACAATTAAACAAAAAAAAACAAGGTTTAGGATTGCGTTATCAATTCAATCACGTACATTGACACTATTGCGTGTATAACTAATACAATACATAGTTGTTATCGTAGCTTTTGTCTGTTCAATAATTTGAATAACTTTTACTTTCTGCTATCAATCCGAAAAGGGTATGAACCAAATTCGTAACGGGAAACATAATCTCATTGGATATGGTCGGAAATTTGCTTCTCTACAAATCCATACGGACTCCTCCGAAATTCTTTTGCGCAACGTGCAAATTGACTTGTTATCTGCCAAAATGTACATTGGATGTAATCGGGGATAAGCATTCATACACCCCGTTCATCTCGCCCAGCAAAACGGACAACCATGTTGTACAAATTATTTCAAAACTCGATTCAACGATCACTTAACTGAAATTAACTTATTAGGGAGCATTGAATTTAAATTGAAGGAACGCCATCCAGATTTATGATAATAAACCCAGATTATGATTGATTGATTGACTGATTGTTTATTTGTTCCTTAACGTCCAGTGAACGGGAAATAATTTATGATACACAGCGTAATGATTTGGGATTAAAACTTTATGCAATAGGTAAGCAGAGGTTTCAAGATGGACTTGAAGGAGGAACTGATAATTTTGATTGTCACTGCGCAATAACAAGCGTAATTGGTTAGTCCAAATCCATCCAACAAACGATGCAATAAAGATAAATGGAGATGTTGTGTATACGCCAATCAGACAGCAACCAAACGACACAAAAACGTACATACCTTGAAGTCAGATTATGGTCTTAAACAATAACTAGATGTCTACACTAAATGTCAGGCTACATATCGCAAAAAAAATAAGAAAATTTGTGAATAAAAGAGACGATGAAAAGATCAGCTAAAAATAACGTATTCCCTTAATCACAAAAAAAAAATAAGATATAACTAAAGACAACAACCAATGTGTTCCCTGGCTTGCCAATGGCAAGCGAACTTGCGTTTACGTTTTTCGTTTATTGGATGTACAAGTACCCGTCCACGTCCACTCTGTGTTTTTGTTAGATGTATTTCTATTTGTATCCATCTGATGAGTTAAGCATTTTTCAACTGATTTTATAGTTTGTTCTTATGTTGTACTGTTACACCACTGTCTCAGGTGAGGGGAGGGTTGAGCGCTCACAAAAATGTTTAACCCCGCCACATTCTTTATGTGCCTGTCCCATGTCAGGAGTCTGTGGTTCAGTTGTTGTCGTTGGTTCATGTCTGTCATATTTGTTTTTTCGTAAATTGGTTTATTATAAATTAGGCCGTTAGTTTTCTCAATTGAATTGTTTCCTATTTTTCATGTCGGGGCCTTTTATAGCCGGCCATACGGTCTGGGTTTTTCTCATTGTTGAAGGCCGTAAGGTTGCATATAATTGCTTACATCAACTTCATTTGAACTTTGGTGGATAGTTGTCTCATTGACAATCATACCACATCTTATTTTTATATAACCGCGAATTTTAAAAGAGATTTTGTGATCTCAGACATTTCTCTTTTAATTTGAACACGTAGAACATTAAAAGGAACAGAGCATTACTATGTTACAGTGATCTTACTTATCGGGTCTGTTTTGCAGAGAGCATTCATTCTACAAACACGTGCTTCGGATTTAACGTTTCTATTCATAGCTGTGTGTTTGTTATGGAATCCCACACGGAGCCCTCCCTTTATTGCCTTTTTCAGCTTTCACTAGTACAACTATCCTTGGGGTGACTCGTAACAGGGGAAGGCATTTATAAACAAGGAGGCCAAAATATATTCTAATATAAACCGGACGGCATGAGAAAAATTCTATTAGGAATTCGTCATAACCTAAAAGAATTAACTACAGTTGTAGTATATTTGTAATGATGGTTATTCATGGAAGCAATAAGAGAATAAGGGGAACACGGAAAAAATATTTTCAGAGAGAAAATTTTAGGGATCATTTAAAGACAACTCCGAATTTAATTTCGATTCAGAATTTCACGGATGTGCTTTTTATATTTATAAAAAAAATAATCATTTTAATTCAGAAATGTTTAACACATCACGTTTATATTGCGGTGACATACAAAAAAGGATGTTTTAAGTTTAGTATTTCATCCTTATTAATAGAATCTGTCGTTTGACTTCTATGGTTTACAGATCAGGGAAACAATGTTAAAGTATCTAAGTAATATAGCAGAGCCAAGTAAATAAGAAGATTATATAATGTCTTTAGAAGTCATCTGTGATCGATTGACGTTAGCTTTAGTCGTATTGTTGTAACAGGACAGCGAAAGTGCAGACAAAAATAACAGACACCGACATTACTGTCGTGAAGCACTTATCTGAATAAATCTTTAATGGCATGAAGCCAAATGGTTTGAAAGGAAACAGTTGGTATAGTAAAATCAACAAGTCCCAAAACATTCTTTAGTGTACTTTAGTTCTAATGCAGCTCTGAATAAATATATCTCTGCTTTCCTGTTATAATTTGACGGTGAGCATGTTCAATACGATTGTTATACAGATGTACACATTCACGGTACTACAATCTGTCGAAAACTATATTTTGGCATTGCATAAAGTTATGTTTTTCTCTTCCTGTTAATGACGGTTTTACACTAAATCCATCGGATGTTGAACGTGTACTGATCGTCCCAAGTTAGGCGCCTATAGTTCAGTGGTTGTAGTTGGTATATTTCTGTCATATTTGTTTCGTAAATTGTTTTGTTATAAATTAGATCGTTAGTTTTCTCAATTGAATTGTTTCTTATACTACTACTACTACTACTATATATGTGATAGAAATAATCTTTAGAAGGATAACGAATTTTTTTTAAATTTATAAACAGATCGTAACCGTTGACAGATAGGTAGTTTTCTCGACACATATATCAATCATTAGGTCAGTTATAATTGAATGTTAATGGTGTAGTAGATTGCTTATGACGAACAGGAGGTGCTTGTAATTCGTGTATTGACATATTCTGTCTCTCCAGCATTATTACTGTTCGTGTTTATTCTTAAACACACACACACGCATCCATGTAGGTCAAATCATATTTAAGAGACCTGTCGATATAACCTACAAATGTGTCTTTTCGAACAACTAAAATATTTCAATACCAATATGTTTTCATGCAAATGCACTGAAAGCACAAACTGAGAAATGACTGAGTTTACAAAATCATTATATTCTTGACGAATGGATATGACGGTTGATTTGCGCTGATACATACAAAAACCCGGTTTTAAAAGAGTACCAACTTACCAAATTGTCTATTTACATGCATCAATCAAACATTTTACGGTTGGCACTTTTCAAACATTGTTAAATGTCATGTCTTGTTTTCGTTTTCATTATCACTTTTCTTCGTACGATGTTCTGCGAATAAACTAATGTATACGCAACTAAATATAATTGAATTATTTTTCTGGTTCAATATACCCAAAACTAGCCTATTGATATACTCGCAATGAATACCAATAAAATATTATTATTCCAAACGTCGAGCGGAAACTTTAAGGATGGAAAATTATATTGCAAGTAAGGTAACCGTTACAACACGCAATTAACGTCTCTGACCTCATTCTAGTGATTCAATCAACTAATTAAAACTGAAGAGGGTGCTCATTTTTATTTTACCTTAAACATAAATATTGTGATTTTATCATTTTTTTAAATTATCAATTAATTTGAATTCT